TTAAATCCTCTTATCCCCAACCTTGCATCAGATATGCAATCTACTGTACGTTTCGCGTTATACACGCGTCAATTTCAGCCAAATTTCGCTATGGCTGTCTTTCGCTAATATAAAGGCTGACAGGTCTTCCTGTACCGGACTTTCGCATAATTCCTGTATGTTTTTGCTTTCATTCCAGGTATCTTTGCATGCGGCTCAGCATTTACTATTGGAAGTAACTTCTATGTCGTTTCAGTTACTTTACGCCTTCCGTTAATAATTATTCAGATGTCAGACATATTTTTCAACTCAATGGCTTCGCGGAATCGTAAACAAAGGTTTCCACACGCTGAATGTCGAAGGAATCCCAGCTTCTTGCAAAACAGTCCATTTTCTGATCGCGAGTGCGATTCAGACGACAATAACTTCACGCCGACAAAGCGGCTGCGGGATTCCTTGTCGCGACCTTCCGTCCGCCCCTCTAAACAGAACGATAAGTCTGATAGCAAAAGTGGGTCTCAGTCATCACGCACTGATAAGCGTGCTCGCGATGAGCACAATGAACAGGAAAGGAGCCGTCGAAGAGAGCTTGCTGTCATCTACGAACTTATTCGCTGCAGATTCTCCCAAGAGGACCTCTGTCGTTTGGGTCCTGGTAATGGACCAAAATCAATTGATAAGTTGTCCTACCCGCAAGTTCTGCAGATCGCTTACCACGTTGTATGTGAGGAGAACCATAACCAACAGCTATTTGAGCGAACTTTGGCTGAAATAAAGAGGATCGAGAAGGAATTTTTGCGTGTCGGACTTCCGGTACCAGCTTGTCCTGCATACCCTTCAATCACAGAAACATACCGCAAAGTGGTGAACATACTCGACAACCTTCTAAAGCACGACAAGGCGTAAGTTCTCATCTGTTAATGTCTTGAGCTGGTGCATGTTATTTGCACCACCCCCTCTTGATAATATGCTGTATTTTTTGGTTCTTTAAAAAGTTCGTCTATTTTTACAACTGAGCTAAAAAATGCCCGTAACTTATATTATCCTCTACTGTCTGAATTCTCGAAATGATGACTGCTTACGCTTATTTAGAGGTACCTTCTGAACACGAGCGTCTGAGTCGCTTAGTCGGTGGGTGAAGTTTTTGTCCGGAATAGGCCCTCTTTTGAAGCCAATTACAGTAGTTTCACTGGGGCAACTCTTGACTTCTAAAGTTTAGCTTTTCTAAAACTCTGTACTTTCTGACTGAGTGTTTAAGTCCGTTTTTTCGGTAATTAGAATTCGCTGTGTTCTACCTCTGATAGAGCGCGTTCGATTGACGGCAGTTATGAAACCACACCAGCTCAATGCGCGGCGCTCGGAGACTATCAGCTAGCTTTCCTGCGAACAAAGAACTGCCACAACGGTCT